CCCGACTTGCAGTGCCACAGACTGCTTCATGTCTGGGGTGAGGGAGAATACAAGCAGAGCAGGAAGGTCAGCAACTAAAGCCACCTAAAATAGACTTGGATGCAATGCTGTAGAGAATCCTAAGTGGGAATAAGACAACTAGAAGGGAAGATGTTTGATTTCAGATGTCTCTTCCCTATGGACAGCCCCAATCCTTGTCATAGTGAATGCAGGTACCTGCTACCCTTACCTGAGTAACCTGGCATCTTACTGCCCATAAAACAACAACAGTTCCTGTTCTGCGTGGCAAACACTACTTTGAGTCTGCATTTGAGTCCATCTACTAGCAGAAAGTCCTTTTCCCAGCAGGGCATGATGGAGCCACAGAGTGGATGGAGAAGGACTGTTCAGCTGCTGTCCACCTCATGACTGGGAGAGTGTCCTTTGTATTAATGGGAAGGAGTCTCCACAGCCCCTTAAACTTGTTTTTTGATGCAACCTGGAAGTTTCACAGTGCTTTAAAAATAGCATCCGCTAAAATGTGCACATTGCTTCTTTGTGCCGCTTCTGGAGCGCAGGCAGCCAATGCAGAGGTCCCAAGTCTCATGAAGCTTGTGATTATTCACTGCTGAACTAAGCAAGGTCCAGAAAACAATGACATGACCTGATCCCAAAAGACGGAATTGGCTCGTTGTGATGCTAAGCTGTTAATCATCTAAGATGCTGTAAAGCTGCTTTCAAGAAAACATTCCCTGGTGGTGGTTATTTTGCTGAGTCTTGACATGTGCAGGGTTTTTCTGACCTAAATTTCAAAAAATATTTGAAGGCCAGCTTGTGAAATACTCTTCTTGCGAAAGTTAGTGATTATCAGCCTGAGCATGGGAAGGAAAAAGCCCCAGAAAGGGGCAAATACATGTATTGTGTTCAACAGTGAAGGCTTGCTGCCTTCCTCTTCCACCATGTGCAGCTGGAGTAGGTAGAGCAGCATTTGACTGGGACTCTGCAGACTTGGCCCCGTAGTGATGTCGTGTTTAACCACAGATGTGTTACTTCCCAAGCTTTTGGATCTCTCCGTTGTTTCACTTTTTGTCTGACTTTGGAAAGCCTCAGGGGCCAACAATCATCTCTAACTTAGTGTTTACAGCATAATCCAGCCTTGATCTGTTGTTTTGGACACCGTGCATGACTCCTTAGTAAAATGAAGAATTTGCAGTTACACCACCTGTAGGCAAAGAGGGATGAAGGAAATTGTGAGACTTTAAGAAGAAAAAAACAAAGCAAAAAAGGGGGGGGGGATTTAGTTTAATACCTTAAAATACAGCCATCAAAAGAAAAAAAACTAATTGAAATTTACAGTATTTATTGATGTCGAAACTTGCTAGATGTTATGAATGTGAAAGACAACACTTAAAATTATGTAGGGAATTGGGAAATATTTTTAACTTTCAAGGTTGATTTAAGCTGTATAAATATGTCTCAATTTCATCTTCTGCATTAGGTAACTATTAATGTCATAAGTTCCAGTGGAACAAATTTTAGCATTTACAGTTTTTAAAATGTCAGTGCTTTTATTCATATTTACATGGGGAAGCTTTTCTTTCCAGCAGCGTTTATTTAGGCTGAGTAGAGGGGCAATCAGTTTCTGCCAAGCTGAGGTGAGACTGAGACCAAAAAAAAGTTAATTTCCTCCTTTCAATTTAGAAGAAAAAATTTTTGGAAAAGACTGAGAAATGCTAGTTCTCAAAATTTAAAGGACAGAGGACTGAATTTTAAACGTGCGCTTAGTGGAATTTTCAGAAATTGCAGACTTGTTAGTCTGTCATTTCCTGATGTTAATATTCTGTATTTCTTTTTAGTGAATCAGTTCTAAATGCAAAACATTTTTCAGTAGTGCACTTCATTTTCCTACGTATGCAGCACACTTAAGATAGATAGTTAAATATAGCTAGTGAAAATGTAGATAAGCAGCACCCTACAATATATTATGGATCCTAATTCCCATCCAGTTGTGGCATGGAACTATTTCAAGCAGAAGAATAATTAGAAATGTCTCATTCGCCACAGTATTTTTAGTGTATGTTAAACAGGATAGTCTCTTAAACAGAAATAGGTAGTATGTCTTTCTTGCTTAGCAACTGAGCAGAATTAACCTTTAGTTTTATGGAAGGCAGCAAAAAGGCAGAGTGCAAATCAGCGTTAAACTCATGATATAAATCTCTTCTGAAGCTTTGTTTGGTGGTGATGGGAGCAGACATGATGTCTGCTTGAATCCCCCATGCAACTTCTGTTGCAGTAACAGGAATTCAGTGCCTACTCTTGCCCTTATGGTGCCAGGTCCCGTAGTGCACCCAAATGGAAGGCCAGACTGAGACACCCAGCTGTGGCTACTGCCAAACTTCTGCGATGAAGCAAATTGCATCGTTATGTTGAGACTGTTGTCAGCATTACTGTGTGTTCATGAGACTTGCATGGATGGATGATCTCGCTACAGAGTAAGGATGTTCAAGTCCTTAAACTGCCAGCTAGTCCAAAAAAGCTGGTTTGCACTGAAAGTGCAGGTGGTCATGGTGCACATATGGGAGGAGTCAGCTAGGTGTGTTACAAACATTGGGATCTTCCTCCTTCTCTGTTGTTGGCCCATACATCCTCTTCTGCTCTTTCTCTGTAGTCCGGTGATCATATAGCACATCCAGATCTGGTTGGATTTCTTCTGGGAAGACGTGACTTTTAGGCTAGGATTTTTGGTGGGTGAATACAGCTTTAATGCTTGGGGCATAATAATTCTTGATTGTTGATTACAGTCTGATGTTAGCACAGCCAGCCCCCTCCACCTCTGCCTCCTGAGATGCACCCAACTGTCTTGCAGGTTATGTCAGCTGGACCGAAGCACAAAATACAAATCTCATTCAAGTGATTCATCTTCTGGTAAATCTCTTTCTCATCTATTGGTTGCTTTGCAAATGGTACAAGCCTGCTACTGCTGCCTTTCCGTTGAGCTGGGAGATCCAAGCCTGCTAATGACCAAGTTTGAGGAGTGAGGAAAGGGGGGAGGTTGGCATTATGTGAGCTCCCACGTTGTCATAACTAAGCTGTGCAGAGCACCGGTAATGCTGACCAAGGGGCAACACACGTGCATAGAGCTGCATTTTTCAAAGCAGCCTAAAAATGATGTGCCCAGATGAAGGATTACCATCTGAGTGCAGTTCTCGCCATTAGAAGAAGAGTAATATAGGGAGAGGCTTCAGTTAATAAAGTGTCACTTTGCTCCGTCGCATAAATACAAGTTGCTGTGTCCAATTCCAAATCTGCGTGGAATTGAGGTTTCCAGGAATGAACTGTTTATTACTGGTGCCACATTTATTTAAGTTGTTTCAGACTTGTCGTGTTGAACAGGCAACTTGTAGACAGGAAGAAAAATATCTGGGTTGAAATAATCACTCAGCAGCAAGTCTCTGTGGGTGAAATCCTGCCAATTGCTCAGGAGCTCTGGGACACCAGGAAGGACATTGAGACAATACATATCAAAGACATGGGGGCAAGAGTGTGAGCAGTCAGCAAAATTCGGAACAAACAGCCAGTGATAGGAGCTGTGGATTGCAGTCTTCAAGCACAGATACCGTGGTGGGCTGGGGCTGGACAGGACGTGGCAAAAAGGGTCAGTGATAGACCGCTATATGGGCAGAAAAAGGTGAATTCCTGCTTCAGTTTTGCCTAGAGAATCTGTGGAGTGAAAGATTAGCAAATCCCCAAAGCAAGCCAAATTATTAATCATTCAAACTATGACACTTCCATGACTGTTCTCTGAGTAGTTGGCTTTAGTGGAACTGACTGTGCTGAGGCAGGGACATTACAGTGCATGCATAACAAAATGCCCCATAATATAAAGACCAGAAAATCCCAACAGTCTTTCTTCACTTAAAATACCGTAGTAGCAATGTTTTAGCAAGTGGCCTGAACTCCTGTTGCAGACTGACAATGGTTTTCATGTGTATAGGAAGTCAAGCATAACGAGGAGACTATGTTAGCACTTCTGGCTGGAAGGCAGCCAGAGAGTACGTTGAGAATTCATTGCAGTGTATTAAGTGGTGTATGCCACTGCTGTGTGCCTCTTCCAGATCAAGTTGACTTCTGGGGGGATGGTAAAATGTTGGGTTTTGGCCCGCAAAAGCTTTCTTGCCTGTGGGATGCTGGAAGAGCCCTTTAAAGCCTGAAGCCATGGGATGGTCCAGTGAGCATCTATGTGTTCACTGAATAAGTACAACGCTTCCCAAAGCAGAAGCAGAGAGCACAGATAGTGAAAGAACGGTACCTAGAGGAGCCTGCCCTGTTCAGCTGCTCAGTAGGACCAGATTAGGAACCCGTTTCAGTGAAGATCTTCCTCCAGATACAGACCTCAGCTGCAAACAGCACTCTTAGTGCAACATTGGGTAATAGAAATGTGTTAAGTGATCAGCAGCGTTCTGTATACAGCTGGTGCCTTCCATGCATACCCTTTCCATAGCACTGTCTATTCATGTCTTTGCCAAGCATCATCCATGCCTTCATCTCCATTCCTTACTGGCTGGTCCTGGCAGCTGAAGCCCTCTTCAACAGCTCAGGTCCTCATCGTGTTGAAATATTTAGCACAAAGGCTTGCTCTGCTTGACCTATGCGGTTAATGACTTAAGTTTTCCTTCCAAGCAAACCAATCCAAGTCTGTCAGCCCTGAAAGCCTCATTCACCGATGCGTCAATTCATAACTTCGGACCTGGGACCGTTCTGTAAATGCCCTGAATCGATCACTGAATATTTAACACTAATGGTTTCTTCCCCTCTGCAGGGGTTTGACGCTAAAGGACCTCACCTGGAAACTGTAGGAAACTGCACAGGGTCTGAGGTGCTGAGAATCACTGCTTCTGCTCCAGTGCACCACGGGGTGGATGCAGACCGCCCCTGGTTGACCAAAGGCTCGCTGAGCATCCAGGGTTTCCATTCCTTTCAGTCACACCTTAAAAAGAGGCAATCTTCAAGGTGTGCTTGACAGAAAATGTGTATTCTCAGCCCGAAGAAAGGTGCACTTCTTAGGAACTCTCTCCTTTGGCATACCATCCAGTGTGGATAAAACACCCTGTTTTACCTTCCCAGCTGTCAGTTTGAGGAAGCTGCACAGTGCATCTGGGAATTTGCATCTGGGGCTCCAAAAAAAGCATTTGTAAAGGGTTTCTTGCCCCTTAACTTTTCTTCTGCTGGCCCTCCCCACTTGACTGTTTCCATTACTGTGGCATAGGGTGTATGTTAAAATCTCTGAACATTGCAAAATGGGAAGGAAAGACGCAGATTCCTAGCCATGAGAAACTTAGCAAGACACTGAGAGAGAAAATTCACAGCTGGACATGCCATAATTTGCGGTAAACGGAGACCCCCATCCTGCCACAGTTAAATCTGGAAGTGCGGAGTAAGGATAAGGATCAGTGAGCAGATAGGCAGAGCTGTGTAGCATGCAGCGGGGTCTCTGCCTATCTCAATATTTAAATCTCTTTCTTTTTTGCAGAAACCGCAAGTCCCCTGATTTCAAATCCTTTCCCGCTTTTACAAAGTAAGTGTGATGGGTGTCTGTGGTGCGCAAAGGCGGGGACTTCCACCCTGCAGCCGTGCTGGCCTGCCCTCTTAGCATTTTTCATGAATAAATGTTTTTTTATTATGAGTCCAGGTGTGAAAAACAAAATGCCTCACTTCTGTGGCTCTGGTTTCAGATTTAAATGCAACAGAAATCCCTCAGGGTGTTTCTGTGCAGTATGTGGCTGCTAGACCATTTAGACTCATTTACAGCCTTCTGGGAGTTAAGTTTTGTGAAATACACCAATGATATGTGTTCTGAGAGACCAAGGTTTGAAAACTGAAAATGAATCCATGTTCAAGTTACATTTATGCGCAGGAAAACTTGTCTTCATGGCTCAGCTCACTAAACACCTTTGCAGAGACAACTCCCTTTGGCCTGAGAGCACAGATGGGAAATGGGAGCCCAGGATATGGTGGTGAGCAAGCAGGAGGGGAAGGAGAGCAGGTTTGGGATGGGTGGACACAGGCGGTCTCTGCTCAAGATTCTGCCCCGTGTCCTTGATGATTTCAACAGGTGGATCTTCTTCCTCTGACATACAGTGTGTTTGGTTACTGCTTGGCTTGCGTCTGGATTTTAGGAGGGATACTGTCTGCGCCAACCTCGTAATCCAGGACTGCTGTCCCTTAGCGTAGGACAGCCCTGAGTGCTGCACTCTGAGCATGGCCACGGTGGCGGAGGACGCCTGTTCTTTCTCCACTTACAAATCTGAGAAAGAAGTGAGAGCTTTATTCAGAACATGAGAGTTCACGTTGGGAGAGAAACCAAATTAGTGCCAACAAATTCGACAACCGTGATGCGTTCAGTAATCCCCTTTTTAAAGCATGCTTTATAGCACCTCTTTATGTAGCACCTCATTTATTGTCTGAGATGGGTGGAAGTGAAAGAAGTCCTGTTTTCAAGAAACTTCCACTTATTTTGGTGTGTGATGGTGTTTTTCTAGGAGACTGCTGCTGAGTCGAATGTATTGTTTCATCGGTTTGTGTCAAAGGTATGGGAAGATGCAGTTACACTGTTACTAAAGCTAAAGCCAACGGAAACATTGGGCAAAAAATGCTGAGAAGTTTCCCTTACAGTTCTTCTGCATTTGTTTTTCATCAAAATGTGGACAGAAGTGTTGAAATGTGTGTCCTTTCTGTTGAGGAGAGAGCCGCCTGGGGGTCTGCTCCCTGCGCTGCCATCAGTCGTTGAGCGCTGCTGCGTTTCGCTCATGCACAAGCAGCTCAGGGCATTTTCTGTTGAAACTTTCTGTTAAAAGCTCTCAACTAATGTTCACTCCTGGCCTCAAACCAGGCTCTGCTATTTTCTCTGGCTTAGATGTGGCAATGAGAGTTAACATGGGAATTAGAGTGATTTATTTAACCTAAGACCAAATGCTGTTTTTTCTCTGTCTTGGCTTATATAGCCTGCTGCCTTACTCTGGAGCCTTGTTCACTGGGTATATATGAAGCACTAATAAAAGTGTCTAATAATAGCCCTGGGGAAAGATGTTTTAAATTGTGCAACCAACTGTGAGTGTTAGTTCTGTGTGGCTCAAGAGGCTGAAGAGGCTTCAGCAGCTGCTGGTGCTTTAGGTTTCTGTAAAGGTGTTTTCAGAGAGCTCTTGGGCAACCAGTAAGGGTGACATGATAGCATGTCTTGTGCGGAGCAGAGGGGGACCTGGCTCGCAAAGCAGGTTGCTTTTTCTGGGGAAGGATGCTTCTGGGGAGAAGGAGTACTTTGTGCTCAGCAGCCAACACCCAGTGCACCACAGAATAATGTCTCTTCTTTTCAGGGGGGAAAGCTCTTCGGTGCTTGATAGGAGAATGAAATGACATTGCTTGGGGATGCTGCAATGCTTAAATTTCACACTGAGCTTGCAAGAGGCTGCTGGAAGTGCCCTGGGATGGGTGTTTGCAGTTCCAACGGCACTGCTTACTTGCAGTGGATTTGTTTGTGCTCTCCACTATGCAACCCCTCTACGTTGTGGGAAAACTCGGGAATGAGAGTCAGACTCCACTGAGATCGGCTAGCTGTAGAGTAGCCCTTTTCTGTTGGCAGACAGGACATGGTCAGAGTGATTTCCTTCTCCTTCCAAATTTTCAAATATTTTGCCTCAGAAGAGCCATACAGAGTCAGGATCCTGGCCCAGCACAGTGCAATCCTCAAGTTGCTGGAGAGAGGATAGCACTGTCACTTCAGAGACGGCCATCTCCGAGTGCTGGAGTCTGCTCTTCTGCATGGCAGGCAGTGGAAGGAGCGGGTAGCACAGCGACAGCTAGCACAGCTCAAAAGATAAACCTGCTGGGTCTGTGCCACAAGCTCTGAGTGGAAGGGGACAGACGGTGAGGAAGGAGGGATCGGAGAAGGAGGTGGGCGATGACAGTGGGTGGACAGATAGCAGGGGACTGGCGTAGGCGCTGTGCAGCCAGTCACCTGTCATATGCTAAGTGTTGTACCCTCTCCTGCCTTGTCTGATGCTGTGTGGACAGGTCTGGCCCACACAACATTTGCCATTTCATGCACAGACTTTGTGCTGCCAAATTTAGGCTACAGGATTGCAGAAGGCTTCTGAACGTACAGCAACAACACAGAGCCAGAGAGACAGTGGGGCTAATGTAGCGACCTGAACTCTCTGAGGGTCCACTTCATGATTTCTTATCCTTCTGTGAAGACTCAGAGCCTGTTTCCACCCTTCTGCAACAAAGCCTCTTGCGTGCAGCTCAGCCATGTGGCAGAACATGGAGAATAGGAGATGCCCAGAGCCTTGCTTCCCAAGGCTCCCTGCCCAGCAGCATGTGTCAGGGGTCAGGCAGAGCCATTTCCCTGTTGCTTGCACAGGCTCTCTAGCTTTTCCTGCTACTGCAGGAAAGTGCATCGTAGCTGTGGCTGAATATGCATGCATGGGAGAGCTCAAGATGTATCCCAAGGCCTGCAGAAAATGTAGCATCTCTGACTGCTGCCCCAGCTTCATGGCTCTGGTCTTGGCTATGTGAAAAGCTTGCTTTCTGGAGGTGGGTAGAGGAATGATAGCAGCCTGGCATTTCATCTTCTGAGACATTTAGTGAAGTGTGAGAATGCTGGGCTACAGGTTTAGAGTTGAGCGTTGCAGGATTTTAATGGCTTATTTGTTAATGTGAAGTTTTTGTAGGATGCACTAGTGGCAGCCAGTAGTAGAGAGGCCACAGTCTGCTACACGCAAACTGCAGGACCTTGTGCCTAGGTCGCAGCCTGGCCAACAAAGCAAGAGCAACCAAAGCTCAGGATTTCAGACTGTAAAGGGGGAGTACTCTGAAGGCAGCCTCAGTGAGCTCTCTGCCTGTCTCCTTCCACCTTTCGTGGCTATGTAAGGTGAGCTTTGGGCTGTTTTCGCACCCTCCCTTCCCATCACCCAGCTGCTTTAGATTGAGCAGTGGTTACTGGGAGTGAGCTGTGGAAACAAGGAGAGGAAGGGAAACCTTCTCATGCAGCCTGGTGAATTTATCCTCTGCTCCCTTGAGATACAAGTGTGAAGGAAGGTTGTGAGGGCCCTGCGTGCCCATTGGGAATTGGTGGGGTCTTGGGATTATGCAGCCCACGTCCTGCACCAGCCCGGGCGGGCTCAGGGCTCTGGGAGCTGTGGTTACAGGTGTGAACTGGAGTCCCAACCTACAGCCTGAGCAAGCCAAGTAGACAGCAAGAGACCAGCTGGCACCAGCATGTGTTTAGCATCTGCCCAGGGGAATGCAAATAGAGGAAGCTTGGAGAAAGCAGAGCACCCTCCTCCCCAGCCCACGCCAAGGGAACAGAGCTAGAAAGTTCACAGCACCTGGCATTGCTAAGAGGCCCATGGGCCCAAGTGAGAGCCAGGAGCCTGTCTGAGCACGTGGGGTAAATGGCTGTTTTTTTCTCATCGAAAGGGGTTACTGTTGCTCCTGTCAGAACTCCACCCCCTCAGATGTGGAGCAGCAAGAGGAATTGGTTCCTGAGAAGCATTGAAGGGTTTGAGAAGGTTTCCAGCAGCGTGAGACAGGCTGTCTGGGCAGTCCTGCTGCAGGTTGGAAGTCTCTGAGCCATTTCTGAGCTGACTGCACAACTGCTCTTCCTGCTTTGCTCATGCATGAGGCCTGTCTTGGCCACCCAGAACAATTGGGGCTATTGGGGAGCACAGGTGTTCTTGGGGGGGGGGGGGCAGCACAAATGCTGCCCACAGCTTTCCTTGTACCGCCACCAGCAAAGCCGAGAGGGAAAGGAGAGGTTTGTTGATTGGAGCAGTCATGAGAGGACCTGTGGGCCCCTTGCTGAGTTCAGACCACCTGATGGAGAACAGATCCCTTCTGGTTGCTGTAAACCTCAGCCTGAGCAAGGAAGAGGAGAGCTGAAATTCCCCCTGGGGAAGAAAAAGCAGAGGTCTGGCAGTGGTGTGGAGGGGCCTGTGCTCTCAGAAAGGAGAAAGGGGCACAAGTGTGGCTCACAGGGGTGTTCAGGGGAGTTTTGACAACTTTTCCAGGTAATTCTACCTTTAAGTTGCAAGCAGAAATCAAAGGGAGGGGGGATTTACTCGCTGTGTGTACCAGCCCTGATGAGCAATTCTTTTCCAGCGGTGGCTTTTGCCTGGTTTCAGATACAGATTGCCTTTCTTCTCTCCACCATCCAGATCCCTCTCCCTTTTCTAGCACTGATGCATCTCACCCTCCTTCCAGCTGGCCTGACTGTTCCCAGCTCTCTGTACTGTGGAGCATAAGGGGCTTAGAAGCTGAAATCTCAGAAGCATGAGGGTAGAGAAAGCCCTGGGAAGCAAAGCAAGTTCATTCATTCCCACAGGGATTCTGCACATCCTCCCAAGCATCCCTTCCCTCCTCCCCAGGAAAGACTTTTAAATTGTTGGATGATTTTAAATTTTATCCCTAGTTTTAACTTAACTCATTTTCATTTGTGGCAAACTGTAGAATTCTGTGACTCTTTGTCTCAAAAGTATTTAGAAAATGTTTTAGCATTTTCAGAATGTGAAATTGGTTTTTGAAAGTAGGCAGTGGTTTAGTTTCCAGAGGTGGACATTTCTGTAGTAGAACAGAAGGGGAGGCTTTTGGAAATGGGATGAAAATCAACAGGATTTTTCTAAGAAGAATCACAAATGAGAGAACTTTCAGAGTCACCGAGTACACAGTATGTGGTAGTGGCAGAGGGAGGAGCTTGAGATGAAGAACTGTGGAGACCTTGGTGGTCACTGCATGATGGATGGATGTGGGGAGAACCCAGAAAAGACTGGTTGGGAGTGAAGGGGAGTCAGGCAAGGGCAGAGCTAGAAGAAAGACAACACAGCTTTATGGTGATAAATAGCTGAGAATATAACAGGAGGAAGGTAAAGCACCTCAATGAAACAAAATAAGCTGAGAAGGAAATGTGAGGATGTAGTGAAACAAGAGAGAAAAATGAATGTGAGAAATGTGCTGCTTGGAGGGTGCTGGATGTATGTGGGTGATTTGCTTCCCAGTGAGGCGCCCTGTAACTGAGCTTAGGGGAAGAGTTGTTCTGGTGGCTACTTGGAAACCTGCTTCTAGGGAAATTGTGGAGTTTGTTTCCTTGTCCGGGAGCAGAGAAGAGTCCTTGGACTACAGCAGTGAAGGTTGGATTGCTCTGCCACCACTTTCTCTGGCCAAGGTTACTGTAGGCAGAGATTGGCAGAAGGGAATGCATGTGCCTGCTTATGTTCAAATGGCACACGGAGACTTGAAAGTGTCCCAGGGAACCGTGGTGTGACATCTCTAGATTTCAGACTTTCTGAAGCACCTGAGATGTACAGCATGTTCTGTTCTTCCCCCTCTGGGAAGGGGCTCCAGCAAAGCAATGGGGCAAAGAACAGGGGTGGTAGCTTTGTAAGCTGCCCTGGCTGCAGCGCCGGAGCTCCTCTGACCCTGCCAGGAACCTGTCAGCAACATTCAGCAGGCTCTTCAAAGTGTGACTTCTTTCATTAGATTAATCAAATGTTAATTTTGACACTTGAAGGGGGAGTCAACCCACTTAGTTTCAGACATTTCCATCTGAGCAGTCTAGGCTACATAAGCAGTAGAGGCAAATAGGAGCATCTGTAACACGAGTCATCTGACATTGAAATATGTATCTAACAGGGATGGTTTGCACCCATGTGGGGTTTTCTCCTCTCTGATAATTACAAAAGGAGTCTGAACAATTAGATTACATTGTACCTCTTGTGGCATTTTACCACAATTGACTTTCACAACTGATGATTTCAACAGAAACAGCCAGTCCCATGTTAATTCTCCCAGTCCTGAAATTCCTAAGTGTGCCACTCAGCTGCCAAAGTCTTCCCTTTTTTTCACAAGCACAGTTACTTAAGTACAGTATTTCCAAACTTCCTCACTACAGCAAAACACAGGAGTAGCATCACAAGAAAATACAGTAAGTTAAATACAGCATTGAGCACAGCTCCTCCAGATGGAGCTGGCTCCATCTTTTTAGAGAGTTGTAGGTTCTGTGGGAAAGGCACAGCAGGTTGTTTAACCTTACGGCATATAAGTACAGCTTATGCGAACCACTTATGGTCTCTTTTATGTTTTTCCTCGCAGCTTCCTGTAGCTATCTGATGAATTCTGGGGTTTGCTACCTGAGATAGACATCTTAAAGATTATAGCCAAGTCGGGCTTGTGCTTTCCAGTATTTTGGTTCTTCCATCCTGGATGCTGGTGCTCTTGCTTATGTGCAATAGATTTCTTAAGTTTCATTGATGCAGAATATGTTTTTCCCTTCAAACATAGATACAGATTTCTGGTATATTGTAGCAATAGACCTTGCTCTGTGTGTGTGCCAGGCATTTATATGCGAAGTTGTTTATATACCAAATGGTTGCATTTGTCCATTCTGCTGTTACAAAACAAAATGCCACAGCGTAAATGGTGGCAGTGTGCTAGTATATCTGGAGGTATAGAAGCAAACTGCAATGTTAACATATTTCAGCCACTGTAGTTTGACATTACGTCTGTTAACTAATGCACTCAACTAATACTGTTTAAACGAGCAACTGCAAACATTTGCTATTAGATTAATTCAGTGGAAAAAATGCACTTTCAACGTACTTGTTAGAAGAGAACTAAATGTATCTTTCAGCTCATGAGGGAGCTCTGCACCCAGCTCTTTCCTGACTCCAGCTTATCCATATTACTCTGGCAACATGGCTCTCCTGCTCTGCTCTCTGCCTTCTGGCACAGCCCTGATTTCTGTGCTTCTTCCCCTCCACCTCTGCTTAACCCCGGTGACTTGCTGTCGCTGAGCCCAGTGGCACTCACCATTCCCCAGTCTCGCTGCACTTGTTGACAGCCACATAAAAACCAAGCTGAGTTCCCCCATGGCACTTCTCCATGCCCCAACTTCTGAGCAACAGGATTTTTCACAACCCGATGCTCCTTGTCTTACTCAGGAAAGGCAGCAGAGACTGGAATTTGACAGAACTGGATGTAAAATTAATTCACCATGCTTTGCTTTCAGGCTTAAAAAGAACAAGGATATGCTTAAAACAGCCTGCAGCAGGCATGAGCTAGTAAACCCCAGTCAGCGTGTAGCCTCTCAAATCTTTGTGCAGATTCACTGAGATCCCCCCCACACACACGGGCAGGTGCTTCGCTTCAGTGCACGAGCTGTCCCTCTGCCATCCTAGGTCTTCTCGTGGCAGTAAAGTGAAGCACGTGGATAAATGCCTGACCCCAACCCAGGAAGCAGTGACGTGCCCTAGTGCTTTCCCGAATCACAGCCCGAGCCCTGCGGGTTCAGATCTACAGAGCTGCTGTGACGTGCATACATGGGCTGAGGTGACAAGGACCGGGCCCTAAGGCACTGCCCTGCTACTGTACAAACTGAAGTATGCACGTGTGCTGCTTCCCTGCATACTCTGTATAATTCTTCTGAACTGATTTCTCCCAAACAGAGCCTTACACCTGTGGAGCTTGTGGAATCCAGTTCCAGTTTTATAACAATCTCCTGGAGCACATGCAGTCCCATGCAGGTAAGCTGGGCACTTCGACTCGCTTAAAGCGGAGAATTAAATTCTGCGCTGATGCCTGATGTTGACCCCGTTGTGTGTCAATAGAGCTTTCTGTGCTCACGGTTTCCAAAGCCCCAGTAATTTCACCTGCAGCAAAAAAGATACTCAAAGGCTGAAGCACATAGCAGTGGCTGCAACAATGCAAGGCTCAGGGTATATCATAAACATTACTCCTTTCCATAGGAAGAGAGGAAACGTGCCATGCTAGCACAGAGCACATCAAACCACTCATTCCCTTTATCCAAAGGTATCTAGGGAATGCTCATTGCATAAGCATTAATGGGTCACTCCTACAGCAGATTAAATCCCTCCTCCTGCAAAAAGGGTAGTTCTCATTGAAGCAAACAAAGCAAAAATGCTTGCAGGGCAGCAGAGCCTTTGCCTACACAAGTCCTTTTCTGTACTTGTGTCTCCTGGAGTTCTGCAAAGGACTGAAATGTGTTCTCAGAAGAAGAATTTGCCATTTCATCAGTTGTGTTCATTTCCTTCTCGGCTATCTACAAAAGAAAATTCTGAGGAGTAGTTCCACTACTTTGTTTCTAAGCCGCCTTTTTTGTTTTCTATCAATACATAAGAGACAATTTTAAAATTTCAAAGCCAAAGCTGTTTCAAAGACAGCATTCACAATATTTAAAAATGCAGAAATAGGGTTTTTTTTATATTGGCAGAATTTTTTTCTTTTTTTTCCTCTTGAATGAAAATTCAAGTGAATTAACACAGGTTTACAAATTAATTCACCTTTGACAGACCTGTGTTCTCCAACAGACAGCTGCTCTGTTGAGATACACATTCAGTGCTTGCATTTGCCCTCACTTTAAAGGTAAGCCTTGAGTAGAGTGGCATGGAAGGACAGGTGGCTTGAGGAAAAGCGTATTTTCCGTTCTGTAACAGTAATTCTAATCAAAGTTCTTATCTTTTTCTGTGTTTTAGTTTTAGTCCTAATTTTAGTGAGTGTCCCTTGAGTTCTTCATCCATGTGGCTCCTCAGTTCCAGTTCAGTTCTCACTGGCGAATCTTAGTGCAGGCTTTATGTGTTGTTCAGCAGCTACTTTATCATCTTTTTAATGTTATGAATAGACATTTAGGGTGATTTGTTATAAGATGGTATGAGTTTTGTCAATGTTATTTTCTGTTGGAGCATAAGCTGGTTAGTGTGGAGTAACTGGACTTCATGTTACACCAAGGAGCAGTGAAGCTCCGCTCAGGGTAGTGGCTGCCGTCACTCCATGGTGTTGGGGTCTGTTCTTGCTGTTTGTCGATGGCAATTTCTGCTTGCCTCCAAGCTGCATCCTGACCATCCTGTTCCTTGTTCTGGTCTCTGGTACTGAAATGCAGCATTTTGAGTTACAGCTCTTGGTGACACTGAGTAGAGGAGCTGCAAAAGAGGGACCAAGGCTAAGGTGTCAAAGGGGAGAATGGCAATTCACTGCAAAGGTGTGAGCTGTTGAAAATTTTAAGCTAGTGCTGTCACTGCAGCTTCTTCCTTCTCTCTTCTTTACAAATGACGCATGGCCTCTGGGCTTGTTCACCTGGGTTACTTTGGACACACAACAGGGCTGGAGGGAGCAGGTCTCGGTGATCTGACTCATGTAATGTCAGCAGAGATCCCCTCTCTCCAACTCAGGATTACTCCTGTTAAACTGTATTTTCTCATCTCTCCCTGCTCTGTTTGTAAGTCACTATCTTCTGCTTGGCTGCTTCCCCCCGAATGTCTCACTGGTACAGTGAGAGCAAGCTTGTCCGTGTCTTCTTTAAGTGCTGTCTGCAGGCATCACCGAGACTGCCCCTTGTGAAAGCAGCTGTCCCTTGCTGTGGCGTCTCTGTGCATGGTGCTTGTCAGTCCTGTGCTCATGCCTCTTCCTCTGGAGGGAACAGCAGCTTTTCCTCCAGATCTGTGCAGCTGGGGGCGAGCGGTGCAGTGTTTGCTACTGTGGGATGAGGGCAAAACAAAATGAAGAGATGGGAAAGCTACAGACAGCTTTGGTGGGTGTCCGGTTCTGGATATTGTACTTAAGCAGAGCAACAGTGGAGATTACACAGGACTTGCAGTTACTCTGGTCACGGTTTGTTGCCTTTTAGCCTATCGGAGCTTGCGGATTTCCATATCCAAGAAACAGCATCGGCACAACATCTCTGAAGTCTGAGGGTGCAGAGGCCTTACAGTAGTCAGCAGAACTGGGGGCATAGAATCCACATACTGGGGACACTGGCATAGCAGCCGTTTATACCAGTCCATATGCCTGGCTCAAGGAATGTTTCATTATGGGGATGCAGAGATACGAGAAGCCCATATGGGTCAAATACTCCCTTAGTTAATGTGTTCAGGAGTCCAGTTTGGCTTATCATCTCTGATGCAAAGGGCTAATCTCTTCCAACTACATGTAATGCATCCACTGAGCCCCTCTCACAAGTGACTGAAGACGGGGAACGTACAGCTGGCCTCAAGGAGCAGAAAGAGGGACATACTGGCTCTTGAGTCATTCAGAGGGCTGAGCCTGGAGGCTAGAAGGTAATAAGGGGAGATTATAGCTCCATAAAGCAGCTACACAATGAGAAGAAGTAATTAGAATGTAAATTGGAGGCTGAAAAGCAGAAATAGAACAGCAGAACACCAGGCAAAGGAATTCGTTCTGTAATTACACTGTACAATATACAGCTTTGACTCCCTTTAGAGTACTTTGTTCAGGTCGGGTGCTACCATATAATGCCCTTCCTACAATCTAGAGCTAAAAAAATAAAAGGACGACTAGGCTGAACCTGGATTAAAGGATTGGAAGCATGAAGAGAAATTAAAGAACCATGATCTGTGTAGTTCACAGACTGCCTGATAAGGAAGATGAGGCTGAAACGCACAAATCTCATTAATGCCATGTTGAATACCAGCGGATATTTGTACATAATAAATCCCCTATTATTATTAAATAGATAAAAGAGTTGGGGGGATGAAATATAGAGTGAAAAAAACTCACCAAGACAAGGAAGGCCTGAACCATCAACAAAGTTAGTAGGCAACATCCAGCAGTTTCCTTTGCCTACCCACAGATGTTTGGAGTTGAGGACAGTGGTGGCATTAGCTCAAGAGCAATTGGTCTAGGCAAATGCTGGGGGAAAAGTGATACGTCATATCTGATCGGTGGCATCCACTGGAACACCTCCTGCTCTTCATGTCTCTTCCACACCTGCAAAGACCGACCTCTGGCTGCAGTCCTGAGCATGGCAGTGCTCCCCAGGTACCAACCACGACCAGTGAATTCCCTGGGCACACAGAGTCCTCGAGGCAGTCCCAGAGTCTACCCTGGTTCTGTCATATCCTGGATTGCTCTTAGGTATTGATCCATTCTGTGGCCAGTGCAGTGCCCAGACCTAATAGTAACTGTGCAATCTGTGGCTGTTCATCAGCAAGGTTTGTGAGTGCCCCAGCAGTTAACATGCAGAGCTGCTCAAATTCGAAAGGATTTGCTTGTATGGAAGAGGGCACTGGAGTTTCATCACATCGTTGCTTGTCTCTAGACTCTTGCTGGTCTCCCTTCTCTCCCAGGTCATTGCCACACATGAAGGAGAGCAATTTTGCCCTCTCCTGTTTGTTCTGATGGGCAGCCCACTGCTCTGCCCAGCACCAGATCAACCTGGGCTGCAGAGCAATG